CGAATCTCCGCAGGGTGTTCGTTCCAAAGGGCCGGTGCTGCAACTGAGAAGGCTCTCCGCCGGGTCGTAGCCAGATGGCATTGGCTGGTGGATGGAACCCGGAGTGAGATCTGGCAGCAGGCGGTCTCTCAAGTACCCAGGTCTAATTTTTTGTGCCGGACACGACTAAATTTACCATTCCAGATCTTGACTCCTGCTATGCACCCTGGAAGACTTTACCATGAACACGAATCTGGCAGTGTAAACTGCCTAGTTTATACCAACGAGCAGGGAGGCACAGTGAGTAAATTGGGAGGAGAACAACGAAAATGCGCACAGACAGAACTTATAATGCAGCACAAGCTTTATTAGAGCGAAAGAAGACTGTATCACAGCTGGCACAGCTGGATTCTAACATTTCTGTCTCCCACCCCCCTCCAGTGCAAATACAGAATAGACGAAAAAATACAGAAACGTTGGCATTGAACGTGCGGTTTTCAAAGAACAAGCAAAGAAGGAAGTACAGGTTTTCAGAAAGGACCCAGAGCGCGGGACAAGTACCAGGATTCGATTGTCTCACTGGGTGAACAGCTTAAGAATTTGGCGAGCAAGTCTATAAGTTTCGGGGCATTACATTCACTGGCGTCGCAACGGTTTTCAGTCCTTCGGGTCTTCTCGGACGAGCTTGGGTTTAGCACGGTGAGCCGCAGATGCTAAATTTGCGTCGGGGTCCGCAGATCCCCCTCGAGCTGGAGCCGAGCAGCCCGCGGGAATAGGAGCCCCCGAAAGATCCCGCAGCGCATCCGGAATATCCCCCGACGGCCACCGGTTCGCAGCTGGCTGACATAATGGGTCCCGGGAGGGTCAACACGATGGGGGGAGGCTGGACCACCACTTCGGAGGCTGGGATCTGGTTGATGGGAGACGGGGTGATTCCGGCAAGCGTGCCAAGGCTGCTAGCGGATGCGGGGCCACTGCCGGAGCTGAAGGTTCCGAAACCGCCACTGCCACCCAAGCCGCCGAAGCCGCCGATGCCCCCTCCGTAGCCGCCAAGGGGGTACGGAGTGCCACATCCTCCGAGACCTACGACGGGCTTGGCGCAGCAGGATGGAATGGCGCAAGATGGAGGGCAGCAAGGAGGAGGGCAAGGAGGACAGCAAGACATGATGGATCTGGAAGAAGAACAGGAGAACAATGGGCATCGGGAAGAAGTTATAATTTATGCGCTCTTGATTTGCATAAGGTCAGGTTCATTAATGCTGTCTTTAATGTCTTAGCAAATTCCCTGTTAGGAAATTTCTCCCTAATTTCCTGTCCTGTCCTCAGGTGCTTTGGAAAATAAACTGAACCCCCTCCTCTTTGTGGCAGCCCCTCAAATAAGGGGCCAACCTCTAGGATGGCTGCACGAGGCTCCTACAACTCTGGGCCGCTGTGGCGCAGTAGTTAGAAGGCAGTATTTCAAGCTAACTCTGCATTCCCACCAGCCAGGAGTTCGATCCTGACCAGCTCAAGGTTGACCCAGTCTTCCATCCTTCCGAGCTCGGTAAAATGAGGACCCAGATGGTTGGGGGGGGGAGCAATAGGCTGGCTCTATTAGAGCCAAGGTGGCGCAGTGGTTAAATGCAGCACTGCAGGCTACTTCAGCTGACTCTAGTTCTGCAGTTCGGCTGTTCAAATCTCACCGGCTCAGGGTTGACTCAGCCT